GTTGTGGTTGTGGGCGGGAGAGGTGCTAATCAGAGGATGTATGATGCATGTTGGACTGGAGGGTGCTGTGCTGGTTGTAAGTTGGACGAGTTAATTGGCCTGGCTTGGAGCCACACCCACGGGGAAAAGATCGGAGTTTTACAGGTATAGTATGGCCTTGGTCTCACTTGATTGCTGAATGTGCGAATAGACCTGAGTGCAGTCTAACTGCTTAGTATGGTTTCATCATTCTCCCAGGGTCTGACTTTGGCCCCACCCCCGTCTGTGTACCACGAGCAGAAAGAGGTACAGCCAATTTGATATTCCCGCACCGCCGGAATTGTACCGATCTCCCCCTCACCGGGAACGACATTCGGAGCGGAGCCCGGAGCTGGCCCCTCACCATGACTACAGTAACTAACTAATTTACTATTCCGTGCTTTCCGCAGTTAGATACTAAGAAGCAGCAGGAGAGAGGGACTAGGGGTGGGGTGTCGAGCACTATTAACCACACCTCGCACATGCCTTTCTCTTCTAATTTTGCATGCGTTTTAGAGTCTGAAGACAAGTGCCAGTGAACATCACCAGGTGTACAGCTAGTAGTACGATGGATTGGTGGAAAGACACGGGCTATATCCGAGTAAATGGGGAACCTCCGGCACTTACTTACGTAACGTTTGTGAAGAGGTATCGTTTCAAATTGACCAAAAGGCAGCTGCAGGGGGGGCTGGTGGATGAAAGATGTGGAAGGGTGGTTCGGTTACCCTCCAGGACAATATTGCAGTGCGCTTGAGGCTTGGTGGTTAGAAGAGCGCAATATGGCGGCTGATTTACCCACTCGGCTATGTAATCCAAGTCGGGCGACTTTCTTATTCGTCGAATTGCACCGGGACAAGGCCCGGGAATGAATTAGGTGCTCCCTACTGATCCATACGGTAGTAGATCACTTCTGACTGCATGCTTAATGGTCAGTCTATCAACCAACGGGAGGAACGCTAGGCTTCCCTGGCTGACCTACTGGTGAGATAACTCTTTATCCTTCAAGTCTGTTGTCGTTTCAAAAGTGTGGTCAGCCCTTACTCTGCAAGTAGCAGGCAGGGTTGATTCTTGAAGAGCATCTGGTTTTGGTAAGTTTGCTAGAAGCGGTTCCTTGATGAGTCCACTCCACACCTTGAAGCCGTCGGATTTGCTATCACCAGAATGCGTCGGGAGAAAGTCCTCTGCAGGCAAAGTACAATCCAGGTTTGCACCTGACTACTAACCAAGTACAACCAGTTTCCATTCTTGTGTTGGCAAAGCCATCCATTCAACGAGTGGAATGCGATCGAACTCTTGGGGTGACCTATAGGCAACTCCGTTGTTCCAGCAGACAGGCATTACCACTACCTCGTCCCTATCGCCATCTATCACGATGCCGTCTGTGAAAGAGAACATATGCTCCGGAAGTTTAGCAATACTTGTACGACAGAAAAGGAAGCTTGGTAGGTCTGGCGAGGCAAGAAGGTGTTCGGCTATGTCAGACTTGTACACTGCAGAGTTTTGATGGGTGTTCCATGGGCTTGGGCGCCAATGTACCGATCTCATCAGCTCCTGGGCTTCGTCTGCGAAAGCCAATTTGGCTGTTACGGATAAGCGAGTTGTGTTTGAGACTAGATTCAGCGGCCGAGGTCGGGCCAGGTCCTCTGCCTCATCTCGGAGCATCTGCATCTCAAAATTGTGGTTCACAAAGTAGAACGTGACCAATTCCGCTTTCCACGGATCAGCCACGACGGGATCAATGGGTCCGATCCAGCCAACCCATGACCAGCTTGGAAATGAGCAGTAGAGCGGTTCGCTGTCAGGCATCACTATCATTGTTCTCACCTCTCGCCGTTTTGGCTGCGAGCGAAAGCTCCATGCCAAAGATTGAGCAAGGCACGATCGAGGGAGCCCCCACAGAAAATCTCTACCCTCAGCCACTTTGAACATGCCGAGAATGCCCTCGAATGCTGAAAGGATGTCGTGCTCATACGTAAGAGACCGTTCAGAATACTCGGCGACCATTGTGCAGTATTCCGCCATGAAGTCTTCGTCATTCCATGCAGTGAATAGCCCAAAAGGATCTCTGTAAGACAGTCCGTAGGTAAAAGTCGGTGCATACAAGCTTGGGTCTCCTGACGTCTCCTCAATTCTGTCCTCGCACCACAAAGACCGCCGGCATTCCCAATAGATCTGTTGCTGCGTGAAAATCAGACATCGTGGTGAAAGTGCCTTCTCCTGGAACGTCCAGCCACGATGCAACCATGGGGTGTCTCCCAGCCACCATTTGGCCGGAAACGGATCCAATGAGACGATCAATGGCACCCCTCGAATCCAAAAGGTAGCAGGAGAGAAGTTTCGAGACCCCGGGGTGATCCCAGAAAGGCCATGATTCGCATCCCTGCTGTTTGCTGCTATGATAGTGACGAATGCTCTCGCATATATCTCGTGCATATTTCGAATAGCATCCTGCTTTTCCACATCATGGCTCTGCATAATGCAAAGACAATCTACCCACAGATACCTCTGACCAAGCTCCTGTGTTACTTTTATTGCATCTGCAATGGTCCTTGGCAGGAAGCCATCGGTCAGCGCTCCCTCTCGGCTAAAAGCTTCCACCATGTGTTCAGATAAAACTGGGAGTTCGACGTTCCCCCAAACATAGCTCAAAGTAACATAGGGGGCGGGCTCGCTGAGTTCAACCAGGCAGCGGCGTGTGACGTCGATGTATCGCAATGGTCGCCTGGGAATTTGCAATGATGTGGAGCCATGTAGCGATGTATTGAGCTGCTGCGTCAGAAGGCTCTTTCTCACCGAAGCCAATGGTGGGTCGATAACCCTCTTTAATCCGATCTCGAGCGGCGACCTAGTCTCGGGCGTCCCGTCCATGCTTGGTGCCGTGGCTGGTGCCCTCGCTGCCCCATCTTGCGGCAATGGAGACATTGGCCCATTCTTGCGTACTTTTCCCACCTGTGACCGGAGACAAGGGAAATACACCTTGACATAAGGCTTCTGGCATCCAGGTCCATGGCAATTCGTGCAATCTGCCGTCCATTGACGAAGCAAGCGATAACTCGGGATCAATGGCCGCGTGCGGCCGAGGTGCGGTCCTGCTGGAGTGACGCTGTAACTCTGCCATCGATGTGCGATTGCCTGGTTGGAAGATCTTTGAATGAATAAGGATATCGGTAATTTGTAGAGCCCCGAGACTAGATCAACCCTATAACGCCAGAGATGTCGATCAAAGTCCTCGTACCTAATATTAGAAGTACACTCCGTCTCGATTTTGTCAATTGTCCACCTTACCAGAGCTCCGCCTCGTTCAACGATCTGAGGAAAGGAAGGAAGTGTGTCCTGCTGGTGCAGTCGCTGTCGAAAAGCTTCGACCACCTCACTACAGCATAAGCATGAAACCGGATATGCTTGGCTGTGTCTGAGGAGATGCTGCAACTCGATTTCGAGATCCTGCCATGTGATGTTGTTTCCGTTCACATAACCAATCCTCCCGAAGTTAATGGTTTCGCAAACACAGCAGAGGGCATCGGGTTTGCGAGATGGTGCCATGCCTAGAGCTGCAGGCCTACTGGCTAGTACCTGTGATTGTGCACCAGGAGCAGTCTAGAGCCTTCATCTCTGGGTTACTGGTTAGACCTAGCAGCTGGTTCTTGCTTTGAATTGCCGTGTCAACTTCACAAAGTCTGGACTGATGCTGTGAAGGTGCAGCAAAGTCCTCCGTACGAGCTTCAGAGGTATACTCCTGCTGTTTAGGTCGTGGCCTTCACTCTGGCATCACAGAAAGTGCCTGTGGTTGGACGTATTTACGTTGAAGCAGTGTTAAGCTGTCCGATGTTTGGAGAGGGGCAGCAGGCGGATGCAGATTCATAGCAAGATTATCATTGCCGTCTGCAGGTTGATAGACATCACGCTGCATCAATTGAGACATGGATATCGCACATGAATTGGTACCCACTGGTGAAGCTAGGTTACTATCCATGATCTGTCGGTGTCTTGGTGCGAGTAGCAACTGTGGCACTCCAACATGGCGGACTATAATAAATATTGATTGTTGGGTCAGCATTGTATTTATCAAAATTTCTGACCACTCTCACAGAGGGCATTTCGGTCTGCTCTTACCACCAAAACACTCAGAATGTGCTGGCATTTCTCTTGTACCTTGTAACTTTGTAAGTGTCATCAAAGACTGATTCTGAGCTGATAGTGATAGGTTCAATACAGTTTCTGAAGAGCTACAGAAATGGGCATATAATACCGGACACGTGTATAGTACCTCGCTCTCTAAGAGGGCGCTTTAAAAGGATATCCCAAAAATGTCCCAGAAGAATACCTTAGAAGAGTGTCCCAGGAGGCTGCTCAAAAGGGTGCCCAGGAGAGTATCCTAGGATGGTGCTAAGAGGGTATTCCAGATGGGTACCCCAAGAGAACATCCTAAGAGAATGCCTTCTATCATAGCAAAAAGCTATCATTGCGACTTTACAGTAGCGATCTCATTGTGGAAATGTCATTCGGCTCTCTTGTGGTATGTAATTGTGCGACCATATCACATCTCAGAAACTACTGAATTTCCCAAAAGAAATTCTTGATGCGAGGCTAAACAACTGAAATAGTTAGCTTTGGCAGAATGACAAAGAACTAGACGGTGCATCAATTTGAGAGTTGACGCGACCATGACGCCCACCATCTTCGCAAAGACCAACTTAATATTCTATCACAGCCCGAGAATACCATCACTTAGCAAAGGGTAGACACTCGTAAAGCATGCTCTGTAAACAAGGTCCCCATGCAAGACTAACGGACTAGACTTGACTCATGACACCTGCCCAATGTTGGAGCTACTGCTGCGGGTACCTCCTCCTCCACTATTTCCCGGTTGTAAGTGGGGAGGTCGTAGACGTTCGTAGCTCCCAGGCGGATGAGATGGCCAACTATTCGTCCAGGCGCCGGAAATCGGGTCCGCTACGCGATCAGCATATGAGTCCCAGGCTTGGGAGCCATTCAGCGGCAGATTAGCATTGAAGTTCGGAATAGGATATCGATTTGGCGTGGGCGATCTTCTGAACTGTGGAAAGTGGTCGAAGATTGGTCTTTCAGCAGAGGCCGAGAGGTCTAACGGTGTGCGTCGTGGCGAGAATAGGTCGCCATCGCATGGTAACAATCTGCCAAGAGGAGCCATACTCGTAGGTTCAGGTTGTGCAAATTCGTTGCGACCGCCACCGCCAAGGTAGGGGCGGAGCTCCTCGGAACCAGTATAGGGCAAGTCTCTGGGTCCTATTTGCGCTCTGGGACCAAGTTCGAGGTATGGAATGTCCCTTGCGTATATGTTCTTAGAGCTTGGTCTTGGATAACTCTGATATGTTGAGAATGGAAGACCCGCGCCCCAAGAATCAATCGGGTATCTCGGTCCCATATCTCTGAAGTCTTCGTCGACGCTCCTCGGTCTCTTCGGTTCTGTTCGCAGTGACGTGCCAGCAGCAAGATTCTCGCCACTGTAGAAACCAAAGCCGGGCTGTCCATAGGGATGAACGTTGTCGCTATCACACCATGCAAATGGCACGTCATGACGAGCAGATCCGGATTGTCGTCCCCTGAGCCTGGCAGAAGAAGCTCCTCTTTGATGCTGTTCAACTGCAGCTTGGAATGGGTCGCGTGCTTTCTTCCTGGAGCTCCCGAAGAAACCCATCGCGTCTGATGTGGTACTTCTCCAACAGCACTATGGCTCTGCCTCTCCCAAGAGGAAGAAGAGTGGAAATGATATGGTCTCACAGAAGTAGAAGTTTATCACAAGGAGAGAGCTGGCTGTAATTGATGAAAACAACGGTAACATAAAAAGTCCGATATTTTCCAAGAACATGCAGCCGGAAGCTGCTACATCAATCCTCAGCATGGCGTTTTGTCACACAGCATTGAGGAAGCGGCTGGCTGCATAGCTTTTTTGACAAACGGAAGGGGAAGTTTGGCCAAATAGGCATCAAGAATGCAAAAGAATGACAAACAGATTTAGGTAGGGGTAGGGTTATGCGAAATCAAGACTTACCAGGAAGCACCTAAGCCCAGAAGCGCCAGCGACGCAATAATACGTAATTTTAGGTCTGGCTCAGAAGTCTGGTGACAAAGTTGTGGAGGTCCTTGAATATAGCAATTGATACATATCTCGGCCGATGTACATCAACAGATGAAGGGCAGTCATCAAGCCACGCAGTCATCAAGCTACCAAGCCATTAAGCCATCAAGATCTGTAGGTTGGTAAGTGGACAGCACTTGTAGGGTGAGCAGACCAAATCTCCAGCCTCTGGCGATACATGAGCACAGTGTCGAGAGACATCTAAACTAGCTATAATTGACGCTGCTTGGGCAGTAGAAGGTTGAGGCACTTCGGTCTGCGGTCTCTCCACCAATTTAAAATGGAACACGCGCCAACTGGATTTGGGCTGCCTTTTCCCTTTGCCCTTTGCCTTTGCCGTTTTCCGACCCACTACTAGTACTAGGTACTAGTAGTAGTTAACCACTCACTGCCCTTGCAACCTAAGCTACATAGCGCCGCTAGAAGTCAAGTCAAGTCAAGTCGACTGCTCTGCTACTCAGGTAACTCGAAGTACTACCCGCAGCTTCACTTGTCTGCCTTTTCACTCCTCTACAGAGCCCGGCATTCTGTCTCCCTTTCCTCACTGAATTGTTACGACTACAAAACGAAGATACTTTCCAAGACCATATCGTCCTTTTTATCTGGACAAAGTCCTTTTATCAGACGACCCACACACATCACACATCACACGCGCTCCAGACCGCCGCAGCAAAGTGCCCTATCAGGTGAAAAATAAAGTCTTTTCACTACTCAAGGCGTTCCATCATGCCTTCACCTCTTACCTCGAGCTTTGCCACTGCGGCAGCCAACAACAATCAGGATGGCAAGAGAGGGGATGTTGGTGGTGACTGGTAACTTAACACCCCCCACCCCCCCACCATGATGACTGTGGATACACAGATGGTTTTGCGGTCGTATGAGCTCCTGCATTCAAAGCGGCTGCGCATTGATCTGCAAAGCCATACAAGCGTGAAAGGCGCTCTGGCTCTGGCTAATATATTTTTCCCCATTGCAGGGCACGCAACCGCGCAAACGGTGCTACTCAGACCTTCCGTCGGCCTTCCCTCGCAACAAATGTGTCCTATAGTCGAGAAAGTAACCACACGGGCAATGCTACGCCAACCTCAAGTGTCTACGTTCCGCCCCACTTGAATGCGAGTTATCAAGTGAACTCTCTGCGTAACGGTACAGCTGGAGAAATCCGGTATACCAAAGATCAGTTGGTCGCGTTGTATAAGCAACAACGAGACGCAGGAGCCTTAGACCGGAATCTATCTGATGTTTTCGCTGGAGGCTGGAATCCCCTTGATAGCCGCGATTCTGCGAATTCTGCATGGAGCAAGCGGGACGATGCGAAAGAATCAAGCGTGGGCCCAGAGATATGCTGGGATTACAGCTCAAGGACCGAGCCTTTGGCTTTGATCCACATGAGTGATGAAGAAAAAGAGGTTTGTTTCTTTCCAGCAGATATCCTTCCGTTCTATATTAACGTAGATATAGTTGTTCTCCTCATCGGTCAATTCGTCCATCAAGCCACCTCAAAATGCTTCCAAGGACAACAATGGAAGTGCCACTTTGGCCCGGAAGACCTCCACCTCCATTTCTCAAAACCTCGCAGGACCTTTCAATACTGCTTCTCCAGGCACCGGACGGCCAGGGGTCCGGCGTCGAGATACCAATGATTCGTACAATGGAAATAATCCCCTTTCACCGACAGGAGGCGGACGATTCTTTCGAGACGAACCCAGCGCTGCCATGCCTCCTGCATCTCTCCTTCGGCGAAAAACTGATTACAAGGAAGGCGGTGACGACTTGAAGAGTGAGCAACCGGACAAGGATGCTGTGCCAAGGGACAGTCGAGAAGAAACCAGCAGTCCATTCAGTAGCTTGAAGCGCAATGCCACTGGACCAATGAGCGCTGGCCTGAACGCCCCTTCATCTCCTTGGGCAGTAGGACCTCCTAGCGCCGGATTTGGATCAATGGGTACATTTGGCAGTTTCGCGCTTGGATCATCCGCTGCTGCCACCGACATCCCTGAACAGCGGTCGGGCTTTGGGAGTTTGCGTGGGGAGAGCAGATTTAAGGGCTTGCTGTCGAAGACCAGCTTAGAAGACATGTCTGCTGTAGTCAAAGAAAAACCCTCGACTGGTAATCTCGGGAGACTATCTGAGGTGGAGAATGATGGTAGCTTTCAGCCTTGGGATGAGTCGCTCAGGACTCGACCGGGACGGAGCGATACCAATCCGTATGGTGACGATGTGCCGAGAAGTGGAAGTGCAGCACTTGGTGGCGCTCAGGATAGTGGCCAAGGAATAGACCAGCTTGGATTCTCGACCATCGGGCTGCCGCCCAACACAGGTTCTCGAGATTTCATGCAATCCTCGGCGAGTCAGGATCCAGCCTATCATCAGACACCACAACACCGCCAAAGAGGCCAAGAACCAATGAGCCCAACCAACACAAACCCCTATCAAAGCCCAGAGGCTGATAGAAGGAACAACGCTGACCAGGACCAGGACGGCAACCTGATGCAGCAACGAGGTAACGTCGGCTTCGGTGGCAGAGAGGAGCCTGGTATCAATGCGTTCGGCCCCCTGCGAAGGGGTGTGTCATCCGCTATGGAGGACCGAAGTCAAGCTTCAAGCGCAGGCCCAAATCGTGGCTTTGGTGGACTTGGGGCACTTGGTGGCTTTCCGGGCTTTGGTAGCTCAGCATGGTCCGGCGTTACGAGCGCTCCCAATAAAGACCGAGGCTTTCCTTCTGGTTTTGCAGACCCCGTCTTCGGCATGAGCGATCTACAGACTCCCAATATTCCTGGGTTGAGCAGCAATAGCCTTTTTGGCTCACCTCCCGTGCAAAATGCTGCTGCTTCTCGATCAAGCAAGGTCAGCGTAATGTTTCCTCAAGCGATGCAGGAACAAGCACAAGCACAAGGTGAGAAGGCTGGAGGAGAAGGGCTGGATAGACTAGCAGATTTCGCCACCAGAAGCCGAGCGATCAGCGGTCTCGACGGCGGCTTCGGCAGGAGAGAGCAAGAAGTGCCTCTTCGTGGTGGAGGCAATTTTCTTGGGGATACTAGCAGCCACGATACAACTATACGTTCTGGGCAAGGAACGGAAGACTCTGGAGTTGCTGAAGGTCTAAGCTCTCTTTCTCAGCTATCGGGGTTTGGATCTTCGCAGAACCTCATCACGAACCCCGGTGTTGGACAAGCGACGACTATGGCGGGACCCGCAGATGTCGCTGTCCCGGGTGGCCAAAATCCAAGCCAGTCCAGCGGCAGCCCAGCTTCAAGTCAACTACCGGCCCCCCAGCAAAGACAAATGGTAATGCCAGATCGCATGCGGTGGATCTATCGGGATCCCTCGGGGACAACTCAGGGCCCGTGGTCTGGCTTGGAAATGCACGATTGGTTCAAAGCCGGTTTCTTCACGGCCGAGTTACAGGTGAAGAAGCTTGAAGATGCGGATTATGAACCTCTGGCGCAACTCGTACGGCGCATTGGAAATTCTCGAGAGCCATTCCTTGTTCCGCAAATTGGCGTTCCTCATGGACCCTCCGCACCCAGTCAAGGTAATCACTGGGCTGCTCCGAGTGGAAGCAGTACAGTCGGTGCTGGTCCTCCTCAGCCTGGAGCTGCACAGCCGCCGTTTGCAAGCAGCTTCCCTAGTTTCGGCACCACGCTTACAGCAGAACAACAGAATGCCCTCGAACGCAGAAAGCAAGAAGAGCAGTATCTCATGGCAAGGCAGAAAGAGCATTTAGCCCAGCAACAAGTGCTTTTAAAACAGATGCAGCTGCAAGGCGGGCCTCAAGCATTGCATTCCCTTCAACATCATTCTAGCGCACACAGCCTTCACAGCCAACCAAGTTTTGGAAGCATTACCTCTCCTTCTGGTTATCAGCCATCACCTATTCAGGGACCCATTCAGCCTCCCCAAAATGGTGTGGGTTTCATGGAAAGCACCTTGCGTCACGCTCACTCGGCGCAGTTTGGAGCAGATTTTCGAGGTGGAAGAGAAGAAGACCTACCTAACCTTCTAGACCGTATGAATGTGTCGCGAGGAGCGCCGTTTCCCTTCACAAGTGGCCCTTTTGGACAACACCAAGATAACGCTCAACCGCCTCCCCAAGTGGCTTCGATGCTTCAAGATCGAGCGCGGTTGCAAATGGAACAGCAGCAAGCTGATATGAACTCTCAGAACGACGCTTTTCGTGACAATCAGGTTTTCAACGGGCGCCTCCAGGAATTCAATGCCTTGAGAGCTCAGATTGATGACAATGAGATGGCCCCAAGGCAAGAGGCGATGGCTTTGCCGTCAATCGGGGTGCCGGGACAGCCGATCAGTGAGCAACAAGTAGATCAAGAGCAACGAGAGCTGTCCAATGAACCTCAACAGGATTCACAAGACCCAGAAGCTCTTTCCCTTTCCCAGCAGGTCCAGAAGACTGCCGCTGCAATAGGCCAGCTGCACGCTTTTGCTACGGATGAGAGTGGATGGATTAAAACAGACCAGGAGTTGCCACCATTCCTTCCACCACCGCCTACTACATCGCCATTGCCAGCACCATCAGCTCAAAGAAATCGGCAGAATGTCGCAGACAACCTTGCCGCGGAATCGAGGTCACAGACTCAGACACCAGTAGATACTCCGGGCACTTCCATTGCACCGTGGGCTGAGAAGACATCCGAGAGCGCCAAAGGACCGTCCCTGAAACAGATTCAAGAAGCAGAAGCCCGTAAAGCTGCACAGCAAGAAGAAGTAGCTGCTGCTGCTGCTGCTCGCAGAGCCCAAGCTGAGCAAGACCGTACAACGCAAGCAGTGCCTCCAGCACCAGGGTTGCCATCTACCTCAACCTGGGCCAATGCCGGCACTCCAACCACACCGACAACTCCCGGCACGAATGTTTGGGCCAAGCCTTCTGGAGGAAAGCCCCCGCTATCCGCTTCCAGTGCAGCTACGAAGAAGACCCTCGCTCAGATCCAGCGAGAGGAAGAGGCACGCAAACAGCGTCAAGCAGTTGTGGCAAATCAGCAGGCAGCGAATGCCGCTCCCATAGCAGCCGGAGGCAAGCGCTACGCTGATCTAGCCAGCAAGGCGCCCGCTGTTCCCGCTGCACCGTCACCGCCAGCTAGTGCCTGGACGACTGTAGGCTCAGGCGGGAAAGCCAAGGCACCAACAACTGTTGTGGCGACGCCACAGATTGGTGGTGGTCGAACTGTCGGTGCGACTACCGCTCCGTCTGCACCAGCCGCGCGATCCCGCCCATCATTACAGACACGGGTTTCTAACACAGCGAGCAATCAAAACAAAGCAACCGATGACTTTACCAGGTGGGCGAAAACTGCACTGGGTAAGGGTTTGAATGGTAATATTAATGGTACGTAAACCCCATACCACGGCGCCCCTTTGCATACTCCTTTCACCAATCACTTCCCCTTAGCTTAGCCACTGACTCCTGTTTCTTTGTTTCTGTAGTCGACGACTTCGTCCAATCCCTCCTCCTCCTCCCCTCCGAAACAGAAATCATCTCCGATTCCATCTACGCCAACTCCCAGACCCTCGACGGCCGCCCGACGAATTCGTGCGCAGACGCAAATTAGCCGACAAGGGGATACTCCAGGATGGAGGTGGGACCCCGGGATCTGCTAACAGCGCTGCCGCTGGTGGTGGTGAGGGAGGTGGTAAGGGGGCTGGGATTGGTGGCGGTGCTGCGGCGGGAAATGGTGGTGCGGGTGCGGGTGCGGGTGCGGGTGCGGGTGCGGGTGCGGGTGCGGGTGCGGGTGCGGGTGCGGGTGCGGGTGCGGGTGCGGGTGCGGGTGCGGGTGCGGGTGCGGGTGCGGGTGCGGGTGCGGGTGCGGGTGCGGGTGCGGGTGCGGGTGCGGGTGCGGGTGCGGGTGCGGGTGCGGGTGCGGGTGCGGGTGCGGGTGCGGGTGCGGGTGCGGGTGCGGGTGCGGGTGCGGGTGCGGGTGCGGGTGCGGGTGCGGGTGCGGGTGCGGGTGCGGGTGCGGGTGCGGGTGCGGGTGCGGGTGCGGGTGCGGGTGCGGGTGCGGGTGCGGGTGCGGGTGCGGGTGCGGGTGCGGGTGCGGGTGCGGGTGCGGGTGCGGGTGCGGGTGCGGGTGCGGGTGCGGGTGCGGGTGCGGGTGCGGGTGCGGGTGCGGGAGGCTGGAGTGAGGTTGCGAAGAAAGGCCCTGCTGGAGCTGGGGGGAAAGATGAGGCTGGGTCGACGGCCTTTAAGGTTGTGGCGACGAAGAAGAAGGGCAAGAGATAGGTGGGGAGGTTGCTGAGCAGAACCTGACGTAGGAGGGAGTGGATTTGTTTTTTTCTCCTCTTTGAGTGTTTGTGTGTGCGTGTGTGGATCTTTTGTCCCAATGCCCAGCTACCACAAGTCAGGGCCTGCTGATCTGCATGAGATGAGCGATGTTCTCTTACCTCTTGCCTCTTACCTCTTTCTTACCTTGTTGGACTGCCAGTGCTTGACGAGCATGGCTCCTACCTGGTTTTACCTTACCTATGTGGCCCACGGGCAATCCATCCCATCGATCAAGGCAGCGCCAGCATCAGCGTCAGCGTCAGCGTCGATATCAAGCAAGCACAAATTGCATCCGCATTCACAATGGTTACTCGAACGTTGCAACCAATGACTGATTATTCTTGCTGTATAACGTCGGTCCTTGTCGCTTATCCGGCTGTTACCTCCTACCTGCCTTGCCCTTATTTCAAGTAACTTACCCTGGTAGGTGAGTCCTGTAACTAACTACCAACGAACTTACGGGGGAAAGCGGGCCACTGAGGCAGAAGCAGAACAGGGACAGGGACAGGCAGTTTATCGAATGCTGGGGAAGGGCGATGCTGAGCCCGGCCGGGGATTTTCCTATCTCTGCATGTCTACTAACTAAGGAGTACACGAACTAAGTTAAGTAGTTAACCAGGATATTGGCCCCCACCACCCTCATTTCTCATCTCGCTTGCTCGACGAGCTGTGGTACTGTACCGAGTCGGTTATGCAGATAACAATGCTACTACTACTGCTGCTGCTGCTGCTAGGCTCGCTCTTGGATCTTTCGCGTCCCCATCTTGAAACTCGGTCGGTTGGGTGGTTGTACATACCTGTGGGGGGAAAAAAGTGAGCAGGTTGGGTGGAGTGCTGTTGTTCTGTTGTCCGACAGTCTTTTCTCTAGTTATTTGGATAGACAGACAGACACACACACACACACACACACACACACATCCTCGCTCAGAAAAGGGTTCGATAGGGTGGGAAGACACGTGATGGTGGAGTGAGCGAGGAAAAGATCGGACGAGTGTTAAAATACATATACAGTGGGTGGAGAGAGGGCTTCGAGAGAGGGAAATCGAACCCGGAGAAGCGGATTCGCTAATCACTACTTTTGGTGTCTTTCTTTCCATGTGGACCAAGTGAAGTGAGCCGGGTAGCTGGTTATACATCTAGAGATACACGTGGAGTAGCTTTAATTAGACAGAGCTCGGTTCGTTTCTCTTCTGGTTGCCTGATTGCCTGCCTGCCTGCCTGCATGCCTATAAACGTTATTCGAGGTAGAAAAAGCCGACCCACCCGTGCATCTAACACCCGCCTGCGCGTTGCTGATGTATTGGCTGATCTTTCGTGGCTCTTCCAACGTATCTGTATCTCCAAAACATCATTGGATAGGAAATTCTCTCGTGGTCCCGTCCTTTGCATTTTGCTATTTTTCGGAGGCTGATTCGCCGTGATGTTCCTGCAGAGCCAATCACTGGCAATTCACGCGAAGGGAATGACCACAGAGAGATGTACACACGCTAAACCTTGCTACTATGGCGCTCTGTGTAGAGCAATCACCACGGGTGTTCCTGCAACATGAAAACACCGACGGATCAGCTCCTCCTCAGCAAGTGGTATTTGTAGGATCAACTCATTGGCCCAGGGTATTCGTTCGCATTCATGTACACATAGTGGTCGCGGCGAAGGAGACTTGTTTGTCAATGATCGACGACATACCTTCCCTTCCCACGTCCAGAACGTGCCACTATGCTCAATGGTCTTTGTAGAGATGACGCGGAGCATGGCCTCGACGCTTTCTTGTGGGGTGAGGATGCCTTCAATGTCCCAGCCTGTGGATATGTCTGCCATGTCTCTGCCTCTGGTGTAAGACGCGCGAGGTAAAGGAGAGCCGGTAATGGATTTATGCATGAACGTACGTGGATACCTCACCGGGGTGCATGGCCAGAATAACCGTGGGGCTGGATTTGCGACGAAGCTCTGCGGCCATGTGCTAATGACGGTCAAAAATGGCTCGGTTGCGCGAGATGGTCGAGAGGAAAGAGGAAGATGAGGAGTGATTGAGGTCAGCCAGCTGATACGCACCCTCAGCATTTGATTCAGAGCAGCCTTCGATGCGGCAAATGCCCCGAACCCATCTTCGAAGTCACGGAAGCTGAGTGCTGAACCAGAGTCGCTAGACATGAAAATAACTGTGCCGATTGGAAGGCCTGTGGCTAGGAGCCGCTGTGCAGTGATGATCGGCCCGATGGTGTTGGTATGGAGATGGTGAGCAAAATCTGAGTAGGAGATTTCTGTGGCCCTCTGCAATGCTTAGTACGTGGGATATGATGTTTTCGATAGACCCCGGGTCGTACATTAGGATAGTCCAGAACACCGGCGTTGAGCACTAAGTAATCGATGCCATGCCTCAGCACTTGCCGCAGTCGAGTGGCAAAGGCCTGTAAGAATTAACGTCTCCATGCTTTGTATGTGGCATCCACCCATAACAGAGCTCACATCTATGCTCTGCTCTGATTTGACATCGCATTGGTGTATCTCACAAGCACCGGGTCGATTGGAGTTGGCTGTCAGCTGCCACAATTCCGATGCGCTCATAGGATCGCGTACAGCAGCGATGACTTGATCACCTCGGGCGAGGAGCTGACGTACAAATTCAAGACCGATACCTATGGGAAAGTAAGACCGAGATGTATGAGTACTGATAGAGGTCAGGGTAGGGGAGTGTGACTTTGGCGGATATGGAGATCGTAGTAGCGTGTGACTGGGATGATAGTTGAAAGGAGGTACCTCTGCTGCTGCCAACGATGCACCACAACTTTGCGCCCATGGTTGCGGTATTCAAATAGACGAGCAAAGCATAGAATACCAATGGAAGAAACGAATGGCGCACGAGCGATGAAAAGAGTGGTCGATGACTACTTAGCCGGCAACTGGCAACAAGAGAAGTGCACACATCAACCGGAGAATGATGTCAGTAGAGAATGTACGTGTTTCAAAGATGCATAGGATGGGCTCTCAATAACCACGTAGCCCAACATAATGCTAAATTGACGGAGTCATTGTCTTCATGGTCGCAACCGGGGAGGCGGACCGCGGAAACAGCGACATGGAGTGGGCTACAATGGCTGGCTGAACGCAAGGGTAGTTATGTGGCCATAAGCTTTGCCGGCATCGTAGCTGGTCAAGGTCATGGGCCGGCTTGTGATAAAACAGTGGTGGATGAGGCTGATCGGTAAAGGTGGAGAGTCTTCAGGGAAGAAGTCCCCAAATTTAGAGGCAGAGGAGAATATGGCGATCCGATGATCCTTTTGCCGCTGCCAACGCCACCTAACACCTAAACGTACGTAGTAAGTTAGCACACCCACCGGCCTGATGATGCATGTGACGTTGACCGTTCGTTGCAGAGCCTCCACGATATATTTATACTTACCCGAAGTCTAGCTCGGGCAGCAACCTACTACGTAACTAGTTAGTAGAAATGGCTCAGGTTCATCACCGAAGTTGCATCACACCTTGAGGGGCATACTCTAGAGCCTGTCCAGAAGAGTGAGCAAGCCTGTCCAGAAGAGTGAGCAAGCCTGTCCAGAAGAGTAGAAGAGTGAGCAAGCCTGAGCAAGCCTGTCCAGAAGAGTGAGCAAGCCTTCCTGTCCGTCCCATCTCAAGCGGCCAGCTGCTGTGTTTCAGTGTACTGAAATTTGCCGGCAATTGGTCCAGGTAACCTGTGGCTGCATGTGCAAACTGCTGTGATGAGGGCCGTTTCCAAGCCAGGCCCCAGATTCCCCGGGACTGCAGCAACACAATTCGACCCCGGTGGAGGTCCAAGTGTCATCACATAAGCGAGGCCCTGCTGCTTATATAACTATAACGGTTTTTGACCACAAGCCGAAACGTAGGAGCCAACCCGCCTGGGTAACACAGCTTGCGACCTCGATAAGGATAAGGCGCAGAGAACAAGGCCGGCGGGAGACTTCAGTTCTGCCCTACCTGGCTACGTTTCCCAATCGAGCAATGCGTCACTTCGAGTTCTGAATATGTCAATCCTTAGGTTGGGTACTGATTGTTTCAACTCGTGCATTTGGTTGTGACGGCAGAAAGGATTACTATAATAATAGCGAGTGTGAAATGGTAGGACTAAAGTGGGCGATCAAATGGATGAACCATATCCTCCACCAGTTCCCTGCAGCTACATCGCTCCATTCCCAGACATTCATAATATGTATGTTTCACTTTGCCACCTCCAAATATGCGAAGCAGTACTTAAAGGCTGGGGTTTCTAGGCCGAACACCCTCATCACCAATGGTGTTGATGGGGCGTCAGAAGCTCTTGTTAAAGAAGCTTAGCAGGCCATGATAGGTGTTCAAGCGGGCTCGCTACGTACGTCCTCGTTTCGAATTCTGCCAGGCCCATCCCAGAAGCGTGCGGGCATGATTTGCGACGACATTACTCCCTTGATACTGGGGCTTGGTGGCGCAGGTCCAGGCTGTCATGAGACAAATGGTCTGTAGCTCAATGAATGAGACATCACGATAGTAGACAACTGGTCGGTTGCACGGTTAGACGTAGAGAAACAATGCTGGTTCTTGTTTGTGATCTGTGCTGTAGCTTTTGCAGGGTCGCCTCCTCTGGTCTGGATGATGTCTGAAGCATCTCCAGCGTCCTCCGGTCCCTCAAAATCCATTTTGCGAAGGATTCCTCGTACCGTTCAAGCCAGATCGCATTGGGATCACGGGAGCGGTAGTAGGGCATCATATTGGACGAATGGACAACCACCTTGTCGGTGACCTCAACCAGGACAGGCAGGGCGTCCTTCGATCTACCCTTGCTGTACCATTGTATGCCACTGACGAGATCAGTCTCACCGAGCCCAGTGGCTGATTACGATGAACGATCATGTCAGGGTCTGCCTATGCAGCCGCTGCCATCGAGGCAATTAGATAGCAACTCCCAACAGCACCTCGAATCGGATCACTAAACTCGGTCACGTCCTTGACAGGGTAGCCCATGTCTCGCCAAGTGTGGTTGGGCGTCGTCCACTCCACGCCTACCTTTTCCCAGTAAGGCGGTGAGAGGTCGAGAATTTGTTTACTCGAGGTCGTGTTTGACAGTTTCTTATTCACTGCGGCAGCATTAAGCACCAAGATCAATTTCACGTTTGTTGCCCACCCTCGACCCTGTCGGCTTGTGACTCCTCCACCGACCAGGTAGCCTGGGATATTGGACAGATATGGGTCTCGTGCGGCACCTGCCCGTCAAAAACTTACGTTCCTCATATATCTACTAGATAGTTTCTAGACAGATTCAGACCGCAAAACATCTCCCTTATTCCTGTATCCGTGGTCCTTCTTCAACAACCGCTCATTTTCGCATATCACGCGATCATTGTTTTTAGCAGGCAGAGAGACAGAAGTCGAGTCTTGAAGCCCCAGAGCAAGGACCTAGACTGTCCTCTCCACCTGGTGTTTTAATGCAATGCAATGTCCCTGGACCAATGCAACCAGCAGTTCCCTATCCTGCATTACTCAAGCAGAAGAGCTCTGTCCCAGCCATGCCAAAATGGCACCCGTAGTCCCGTCATTGCGAAGTATGATAGTACCATGGCAGTTATGTAGAGGTAACGCCAGTATAGTAGGGAAACAGGCGCTAACAGTGATATTGAACCGATGCCCCTTTGGCCATGTCGGTGTTGGTTGGCTGTAGCACACGTGAGAACTTGCCCCAACTGGATCAGTGGAGATCGTGCTGAGCGCTGCGCCACATCTGTGGCTGTGGAACGACATGTGCTTTCTCGGTTCCCAGTTCTGGCGAGCGCTAACGCATGGAGGCTAGCCCACCAGCCCCTTCCGTCACATGAGGTGACGTTTAGCCATCTGACCTGCTCTGCAATTCCCGCATACCAACCAGTATCTACCACGTACCACGTATGATTGCTTGACGAACAAGCACATCAGACTTCCCTTGAGAGCATACCCACGTGCTGTTACGCATCGTCAGGTGATCGCCGGGATCCGCACAGCAGATCAGGTCTTTTCGGGTAGAAGATCTTCGCTGCAGAAGCAACAACAACCTCGAGCTCCCGCAACGGACCCTCTCCTACCATGAGTTACGCAGAAGCAGCGGCCAAAGGGCCTAAGCAATCACCGGAAGAAGTAAGGAGCCACCCAAAAGTATTGCAACTACAATTGAATGGCAGCTGACCCTCATCTTACAGGCGTATGCATATCCCCCATTAATCCCAATCTCATCCATGTCCATATCAAGCTCCTCGCCCATTGACTAGCAAACAAACCCGCGCTGACACCCCAAGCCAGCCGCGCCCCAGCACCCCCTCAGATCGAAAAGACCGAATCCGACACCACCTCCCTTGTCGACGTCGACTCGCCTCACATCTCCTCCGTCCCCGCCGACTACGAATCCCAACGCGTGAAAACCACCACGCAAGCCACGCGCCTCGAGCACGAAGCCGAAGACAAGGCGCGCGAGGCGGCCAAGCGCACATCCGAAGCCGCGCACGAAACCAAGGAGAAGGCGAAGGTTGGTGCGAAGAAAGCCAAGGCGAAGGCGAAGGAGGAAGGGCGGAAACTGGATGCCAACAGAGATAACCCGGTTGTCATCGCTAATGGGGTGATTCTCTTGGTGGGTAGCGGGGTGTTGGGTTTTGCAGCATACAAGAAGTATAGTGAGGGGACGCTGGATTGGAAGGTTGCCGGTACCACGGCGGCGGCGGTGGGTGCGTTCGCTGTTGCGGATTATTTTGTCAGCCAGTAAGTCTACCTGTGCTGTCTCATGTGCTTGGGGAGCGGGAATATGCTAATGATGTCTCTCTCTTTCACTACGATAGATGGTTCTTCCAGAACAAATATCCTCCCAATGAATAGTCGATGGGTCGGTTGGTGCTCAGCTTTGGAGAGACGGGTGGCAGGAGGTAAGATGAATAGAGGAACACCAAATAGCTAGGATTAATATCACTACTATGTTACCAGGCCGACTTTGGGTCGTCTACAGGTGTTAATGATCAACAAAGCTCTCTCCTCGAATCCTTTAGTATTTTCACTTTATCCTCTTTCCTCCGTCTCCGTCTCTGTCTTCGTTCCCGTCCCTCATGTGGATCCATCGCAGTGGTGAAGTACTAAACCCGACCAGGTGGCCTATTCGAGTTACAACTTCGCAGGCTGATTGTGTGAGGAGCATAGTACTAGTATGGTGAAGATTTCAAACGCGCTTGAGTGGGTTTCAAACACATATCCATGTGACTTCAATCCCAGATGAGGCTAGCTACTAGTACTAATGCCACCTAATTCTCCTCCGTTCGAGTATCTTGCCCGTCTTCGGCACGTCTGGTTCTATATTGCGTCCAGATGAATGGCTATAGAGTCAGGAGTACCAATCAGAAGCACATCTAGTTTATACATAATAACACCGATATCAGATGCTTGCCAGCCAGACTGCTTTGCTCTATTCTTGGTCTGATTACTGGTAGTAGTGTCTATCGGACATTTGAGCGACCAAGTTCCCTTTCCTCGGGTTAGGTCTGCTCGGCTCAGCTCTATTGTAGGCACTCCGGAAGCTGCCTTGAGCTAGATGTACATATGTTTTCTTCGAGCTGACGGGATGGGATTGACTGACTCGCAAAAGACTCAGATCGTTCTATTTCGTGGTGTTGAAGCCAGGGTGATGCATTATCTAGGTTCTGGCAAGGAGTTAAGTCCCAGAGTTTGCGCAACCTCGGTCAAATTTTGTTTTCAATAGCCAGCAATGAACGTCTGAGGGTTCGATTTCCATGGGAGAATCCGAGCACAGAGCAGACAGCGTAGCACATAAGGGACAGCGCGCATCCTCAAAAACGCCGTCGAATGCCCCGCAAAGCACAATCCGTCATCCAATCCAATCGGCTCAACCATATCCATCATCTTCCTGCCTATGCTTCTGCTTTCCTCCTTTCCTTGACCGGGCCTTTTCTTGCTCCTCCCTCAACCTGTCGAACCTCAGAAACGCAACCATCTGCGCCCAAACGATCAGGGCTGTGTAACCCCAACACAGCGATTCCGAAGCGTGGATGTCGAGGTGTGGTTGCGCGCTGTTGCCTTCATAGCCGTTCATGGTGGGTAACAGCTTGGTGAGGATGGTGTTGAGACTATGGAGGAAGAGGACGGGGTTGAGGAAGATGGTGGGTAGGATGAGGTTGTAGAGCGTGGTGGCGGTGGGGCCTGTCATGGTGGGGATTGGTAAACGTGGGCTAGGATTGAATATGTACCGCCTTCGAAAGGCGAGGTCGATTTGGGTGGGCTCGAGGATGGTTGTGACGGCCCGTCCTAGGCGTAGATGGGTTGAGCGACGGAAGGGAAGAATGGGAGTGCGGTGAGAAGTAGGTCGAGATGATTGCGGGATTTCGAATTGCTGGCCAAGTCTGTTGCGCCTTCCGAATCCCAGACTCTGGATATTATCGTTGAGGACGTGCGAAATATGCCTAGTCTATCATCTTCGACGAGGTAGAAGCAGAGGAGACTGGTCGATAGACGCAGCCGGAGTGTACGAAACACTGGAAGCAGGAAGGAAGCGTGAAGCGCACTTCACTTCGGATGTTGCACACGGGAAGGCACAACGGTCCAACAAATTATGAAAGCAAACATGTGAGAATCCTTTCTTGCCGAAAGAAGCAGTGTCCCTGATTTTGAACCCGTCTGAATGAACGTGTAAACTGTAGATGTCTACAGCAGGGTATGTAGCGTTGAGTCGAATGCCCTAGCTCGTATACATAGCCTCTTGTGCCAGGAAAATCCATCTCCAGTCAACGGATCATACGGAGGACTGATTCGTTCCGGGTACGTCACCTGGAGGGTGTAGACTTGCGTTCTCCAACTAATTGGCAGTCGGAAGGAGTGGCTGAGCGGCCCTCGGCGAGTGCCAAGTGTGGATAAACCCGCAGGAAATTGAAGCTCATCACATGTCCCACCTCACAGGCCCGAAGCTTGGCGCAGAAATTTACGGGACTTCTCAGATCCCCTTCCTCCTCCCCCCTTCTTCATTCCTCGATTTCTCTACCAATACTCACTCAAATTTAGTGAACAATGGATTCTAAACAGGGAAATAGACGCCGCGTCTGCCGAAAGTCAAATTCGATAGATCCTCCTTCTCCTGCGGCCTCACGAACGTCAAAAACGATGCTCGATACGCCGCGCCGTGCGCGCCTTCTTGCTGACGCACGCCACACAGCTGGCAAATTGCCTCGTACACAGCTATTTAAGATACATAATGTATCTAGAACAACTGGCTATCGAATCATTCAAGAAGGAACTGCGCGCCGCAGCGAAAAGATCCATAATCGAGGTCGTAAAAAGATACTTACTCCATATGAGTGCGAAGCAATTGAAGCTGTTGAAGACGCAAATTTTGGCTTTGCTTCGTCAAGTCACTTTAAGGTGGCAAAGACAATTGGTATAGAAAATGGCTCTGAACGTGTAATTCAACGAAATATGAAGGATTTTGGCGTAGGGACCTATATGGC